AGGGTTACTGGTCGTAATGGTTGGAAATGATTATGAGTCCATCCATTGAGATGTGTCCTTAGTGTATAGCTAGATGAGAGCCCAGTGAGACCAAGAGTCGCTTTTCTCATGCGATTGGACCAATCCTCGCGATCCCTCCCAGCAAGCGACTGCTTCTCCATCACAAAGCACTCGATTTTAACACGTGTGTTGACGCGCACGCAAACACGTGTGCGCGTCAACACACACGTGTGCGCGTCAACACACACGTGTGCGCGTCAACACACACGTGTGCGCGTCAACACACACGTGTGCGCGTCAACACACACGTGTGTGCGTCTTATGGAGAGCGGTAGTGTAGCGGTTAGCGCGACGCTGCGCGACAAACCCGGCGACCAGAGTTCGATTCCAGCTCTCGGCCAACACCAGTGATGATTATCTTACCCGGTTTTGGGCCTCCCTTAGGTCGACTCAGCCTCAAATGAGTACCTGGTGCGGTGTGTAAACATCGTCACTGGGGAGACAAAGGCGGCCGGGCGTGGTGTTGGCCACGCACCCCCTCGTGTGCCGTGCCGGCCTTCATAGGTGCTCGCTAACAGCACTTGCCCCGAGAGTCTGTAAAGGCTATACGGAGGATCTTTGTCTCTGTGCGTGTTGGTTCAGCCCATTTTCTGGTAACATTCATAGGCTGCTTGCAGAAGGGAACTGCGGAGCATCCAGCCCTTTGTGTGTCAGTGGCAGCTTCCCCGCAGTAATCTCATCACCGCGCTCTGTGGCACAGTGGCTTCACTGTGCCACATTATTAGCCCGTTTTGCTGCGATCGGTGATGCCTTTCAGCCAGCTATCGCAGTCATTAGGGGCCTCCCCTTGCGGCCGAGGAAGGAGGTGTGGTGGTGGTGGGCAGGGAGGAGAGGCGGGGTGGCGTACGGGTTAATGTCGTTAATATACACCCCATGTTGGTTAATATACACCCCATGTTGGCCCTCGCCACAAAGGCAGCATGCTCGTGCTCCGAGACACCACCGGCTTCGATTACGGAATGTGAGCTACAGGGTTGGCGGTAAGATCGCGTGATTTAATTGCAGCTTGCAGCATCTTATCGGTTCTGTTAACCGTGTGTTGATACAAATTGGCTAAAGTAGCAGTTTTCCTTGCCTGTGACTTGCTATTTTTGTCATTATTAGATTAAAGGTCAGAGTTCAGTTTATTTTTGTATTGCTTAGTTTGCTCTCATCTGCAATTGTAATGCCATTGAAGAAATACTAACCGACATTATTTTGTAGATCTGAGAGAGTGCCTTATCTGCTTTTCTCAATGATGATGTTGCGAGGCTGAGCCGTGATGCAGTTATTAGTGCACTGCACTATGAACCTGGCAATTTGAGATGGTTTCCTGACCAGGGCTAAAAGTGGCGAGTACTATCTGAACCGGTCCCCCTCCTCCCCTTCACCAACCCACACTGCCCGGCGTCATAGACGCCCTTACGGTCAAACAACCCCCACGACCCATAGGTGCGCAGAAGCCTTCTTCCGGCAGGGCCTTGACAAAGGGCTGCAAATCACTAATGCGATTGTTATTGATGATAGAGCACAACAACACAACTGTAGGAGTAGTAATAATGTTCTAAAAATGTTTTTTTGTTCTCCCTTTTTCACAACCTCTGTGGAGGGCGACACCGCTTATCAGAAAAACACAAAATCTGTGAAGGGGGCTTGCTCGCAGCTGCTCCGAGCAGCGGGACGTCGGCACCACTGAACGGTGTCCACGCTCGCTCTCGGTGACATCTGCCTGCTGAGTTCACTCTGCCGGTTGCCCCTGCCTCTCGCCCTCCCCTCTCGTGCCCCACCCCCAACGATTCCACCCCGTGGCTCATCCCCGGGGGGGATCGATTTTATTTCTCGCCTCCCCTCTTGCCGTCTCGTTTGTTTTCTTTCTCGTCCTGGGTTCGGTTTGGTTCGCTCCGTTAGAATATCGTCAAGCGCTTCATCAGCTGTGATCAATTCGCCACTTAAGGTGTGCGTGTTGAACCTCTTTAGCACCGTACATAGCCAACCGTGCTAATCGGAGGTTGAAGGTCCCTCCCCAAGCCGTCGCCACTTCTCACGATCCTGCGGTTGATGAGTCTAACCAATTGTAAATGACCAATAGTTAAGTGCACAATTCAATGCATAGATTTCATTTGACGCGTTTGTTGCCGTGCCGCTGCTGAATTCACAAGGCACGCATGGGCATTTTAACACTCAGCCGGAATGAAGGATGCCCAAAATCAACAAAACGATTTCTCCTTTCACAGTGCGAGCAAATGATGCAGAACCGTTCTATCTGCCTGTGGCTTGAGCTTGCAGCTTGCTTCTAAAAATCATATTACAAGTTATCTCCAAATGGATATACAGTAATGCAATACGTATTTTATTATTATTATTATTATTTATTTCGTCAAATAGCCCGGTGGTTCCGCTGCCATGAATTTCGCGCGAATACATCACCCGCTGTCTTTGGCGACGTGCGTTGACACCGATGTTGTAGTTATCCCGCTCCGCTACTTGCTGACGTGCCACTGTCTCTCCGCAGTTGCCGGAGAAGACACGTGCGCACGTGAGGGTTTGGTTAGCGGTTACTGTTTCTGGGTTTTAAAAATAAAAACAAATTCTGTTCGAATAGGTGCCATTTATTGTAATTGTAATAATATAGTGGATACAAGCATTGTTCCAAAAACACGTCTGTCCCATGCTCTCGCGGACACGATCGAATTATAGACGTCCTCAATATATTGTTGAATAATTGCTTTGTTCGGTTGCGGTAAATAACAGTTAAAGTTAAAATAAGCTACGCGTGGCAGATTTCATCCAATTGCGTGCATCTATAATTGTGGACGGTTCCTGTAGAAAAATAAAAAGCCGTGTGTTAAAAATGACAGCGCAGGATGCCAGTCGTGATTTTGTTATAGAGAAACGGTTCCGTGTTGTTGTAAAAACGGTCACGTTTTCTCCACTTATTCAAACAAAAAAAGGCCATTTTATTGGGGCTATCCGAGTTGTTTCCCCCCCCCCCCCCCGCTTCTCAATGGAGAGTCGGTGCATGGATGCCCTTGCGTTGTGGCGGTTAGGCTGCAGCATCGTCACGAGCCCGGGACTGGGTCAATCAATGTAATCGTGTGTCGTTGCAATGCAATGTGTCACTGTGAAGAGTAGTAATTTCACTGCACTTCGCTTTACCATATTGATTGGCTCTGACTGAAGATGCGGCGCAGCTCCGCATCGTAGTGGCAACAGGGGAGATGGGGAGATGTGGGAATGGGATATTTTGTTCGCCATTGAAGCAAGTATCCCATTCTCACGTATAACTTGGATATCCTCAGTGTTTGGTGATAATGTACACAAAGGTGGCATTGCGGAATAAGTTTACCTTTAGTTCTGTGGGACGTTGATAGTGTCCTCATGGTGATTGCTTCAAATAGTTTGACACAATTTAAATGTATAAACGTACATATTTGTACAACATACATACGTACGCATATGCCAACGTACGCATATGCCAACGTGCACTCCGCAGCAATGTACATCGAAACATTCCAAGTGTAAATAAATGAAGATGTGATTTTACATTCCTGTTCCTCGCTTTGTAAGCAAACTCTGCGCTCCCCTTAGATTATTTATTTTCGCTTTCTACGTACAGGAGGCGAGCTTCGGGAGAGTTGGCACGAGAATGTCGATGCCGTTTCCATTGCGTTGAGAGATTCTTGTCCACGCAAAGCGTCTCCGTCGCCAGTGATGGCAGCCCGAGGGTGAAGCGAAGTTCCTTTTCACCGCCCGGCTCGTCGTGTGACGATTTACGAACCTCTTGTTTAAGTTTGATATAAAAATCTACGCACGGCGCACCTGGCCACTCGGCGGTGCTTCAGCTAACGCACATGGCTCTTGCGTGGTGCGGTGCTGTGTCCGGCGCACCTGGGCCCAAAACGCAGCGTGGCTCAACCGGCGCACCTGGCCAGAGCGTCAGCGTTTAGCCACAAGCGCGAGGTGGGGTTTTTTTATCTTCTTCGGGTGCCTCTAGAGGTGAGAAGGGAGATCCGATGACAACCAAAATTGACGGTTCGATCGCTCTCGCTGATACGATGATGTTGACATACGCACTTCACCTGCGCGTCGGATAGGGACGTTGTGAGCGACAACGCCGACGATTGGTGACTGCTTACATAAACAAGCGTGTCCATCATTATCCATGGCATGTGTGCGTAATAAACATAGCGTGTGTGAACTTATCTATGCGTGCTTCACGTAGAGAAAAAAACAGCATTGAGAGCAGCATCTCACACGAACACTTAATGCTATATATTTCCAAACACACAGACAAATATATCTGGAATAACCGTTTGGGTTGTTGGGGTAAGTGCTATTCGTGAGCACCTATTAAAACCCACGTACTACAATTGGTATTGTGGCCTACACAACATCCAGCCATCTCTTTGTATCCATATTTACACGTTGTTTCAGGTACTCATCTAAGGCTGAGTTGATCGATTGGAGGCTCCGTATAGGCTCAGACATTACTTGCCACTGATTTTATTTCTTGCCATGAATCGAACATCGCGTGAACCACTGCACCATCAATCTCCACAGACACACACGCACACATGCCAGCCCATATAACCCAAGCACCATCCCCTTACACAACATGACCCACTGTGCAATCTCTCCGGGAATCGAACACAGGTTGCCAGGGCTCTTAGCGTAGTGCGTGTACCACTGCGCCACACACAAAAGACAAAGATCCCTCGTATAGCCTGTAACAGACTGTTGGGGCAAGTGCTGTTAGTGTGTGCACACACACACACACGTACATATTGATAGAACCTGTCCCCGAGTTTTTGGAGTGACAGTTTTCGGCATTGTGTGCGATTCCTCTCCGTGTTCCGTCTCCCTTGATCAAATCCTTGGGTGCCGCTCTTGACCTGTCCCTCCCTCCCCGCCTCTTCTCCCACTCTCGCTCCCCCTCCACCCCTCCTGCCCTGGCACGGCAGAGAGAAGCAGGCAGTGGCGCGGCTGCAGAGGGAGGTTGCTCGGCACCGAGGCGAGGGCTCAATGGTAAGTTTCCGGCGTGGTCGTGGTTTCCCGCCCAGCGCAAATATCCTCGGTTGCGTGCGCGTGCCGCTCACCGCTCGCACACAATGCAGCGAATTCGCGCCCGTGATATTGTCGCTCCTGTAACCTCAGCAAGCCTGAAGTATTTTTTTTATGATTTAGTTAACAAATTCTCGCCAAACCTTAAGGGTCTTTTTCACGAGTGTCTTGCATTGGGATGTGTGGACAAGGCTATGAATGAGCGTTTGGCTCTGCGTTGGAGGGGGATGCCAGAGCACCTGGAGAAAGAATCCATGAGGGCGTAACGCCCTCAAAACTCCGCACAGATGGGTTAAATTAGCAACTGCTTTACTACCACGTCCTGGCCACCTTGCAGGCCAAGCCTACAACATCCGGCTTTCCCAGGCAGTCTCCCATCCACGTGCAAGGTTGGCTCAATGCTGATTATTGTTACGTTTATTATAATGCTGGTTGGCCCAGGAAAGCATCACTGAGTCTCAGACTCGTTCAGGAGGACCCTGCCGTGTTTTCTAAGTAGGGGGCGATGTTGTTGCTGCTCAGTGCGATCCCAACGGAGTAATATTCAGGTAAGTTTTCAGCTTTGGGATGTTTTTAGCCAATACCAATTACATTGCTTTTTTGTGTGTTTTGGTTTCCGAGATCTGATGAGATCGGGAGCAATCGGTGATTCAGTTGGAAGCAAATGTTCTTGTTGTTTGTAATGTCCATGTCAAAGTTGAAAGCAAATTATGGATCTTGCCACGATATATGACTGGCATGATTTATGGGTCCTGGCCATTCAGGCTTGAGAAAGAAATATCAAATGTCAAAGGCAAGCTTGAAATACGATGCTGTAGTGTACCAAGTAATTTATTTTGTAAATTATTAAGAGTAATTATTACATTTTAAAAGCATTAGCAGCCCTTCCAACAGATGTAGCACACCAATTTAGCCATGTGAATGTATTTCATAAGTGTTGTATTTCACCGAGTCGTGGGAACGCACTCATAGTTACGTTCATGTATGTTACATGTAGAGGTGGCGCACGATACCCCCTTGCAATTAAATTCATCATCGTGATTCAAGCTCATAATTCCATTCAATAATCGATTGTTGTTTTGCTTTGTGGTGAACGTAGCGGCCTCAAATATGTATGGTTATTGAAATTATTTCGCACCGTACGTAGTCAACCGTGCGAATCCAGTTCCTGGAGTGGTCATATAAACCTGTAGCGTACAATACCTACGAACTGACAAACATCCATTCATGCATCGTGCGGTTGGGATTTGATACTATAGATGTTATAGATGTAACTAAATGCTGTCTCGTGCATTATTGTGAATTATCGCACTTGTCTCTAAGACTTTACAAGCGTATGGAGGGAGATGCAAGAGCATCGCTTGGCAGAGTCGTGGCACAGCAGTTTGCCCACTGCGCCATAGATCTGATGACCTATGTTCGATTCCCAGCCATGGTTAGCGTCAGTGCTGAGTGATACCTGAGCTCGTCCTGGGTCTCATCGTCAGAATCTTTATTTATTTACTTTTCCTGGAGAAATCCGATGAGCTGTGAAACTCCTTTTCACAAATGTCCAACCTGCCGTGACCAGCGTGGTGAAGTTTGGTTAAAGGCCCCTCGTGACCGACACGGCGTGGGGTAAGCCTTCGACAAAGAGCTTGCTATTTATTTGCTCACGTGGTTATTTTTTTGAGTCGAGCATTACTGTTGCTGTGATGAACGCCCAGGGAGTCCGAAATGAATGAGAGGCTCGTTTGCAGCGGCACTGGAAGATGCTTCTCGATGTACAGAGCCGCACCCCCTTCCTCCTGTCATCGTGCATGTCTCGCTGTCAACGTCCTGTGTGTGTGTCTCCGCTATTTAATGGGAGAGCGGGCCGATTGAGACAAAAAAGGAGAAATCATGCGATACAATCTTGATTTGAAGCTTTCGTGACTGCAGGAATCCATACTCTTTGGTTCTTTCGGTAAAGTCACGTAGGTATAAAATAAAAGCGCTACAGTTACACATGTAAGCAGTTGAAACAACCGATATCATTAATCTGATATCATTGCGTTAAACTGCAATGAATGAGTTAAACTGCAATTAATAACAGATGAACAATAAACCCCGGCACTGGCCAATATCGCATTCTCGTCCAACAAACTTCACCCCCTCGTCCTAGCTACGATTTATTACCACATTCATCATCTGCTTGTTCATTTGTTGCAATAACAACAGCAATAATAATGTCACGCGTTTATTACTGTGCTTTACACTCCGGCGATAAATTGACCCAAAGGCACAAAATCAGAAATGTCAAGGTCATCTTTGATGCGTTTCAAAAGTGGCAACAGTTTAAGGCTCGGGCGGTTGGCTTCCTCGCTCCTAACGGTTGCGATGCAGCCTGTCTGATGGGTATCAGTGGTGCTGTGGGCGAGTGGGTCGTTTTAGTGGAGGGGGGGGCGGGGGTTATAATGGATTTGCTGGCAAAAAAGAAACCCGCGCGCGCCTCTCTCCAGCGCCCTGGAGAAATGCCACGCAAATCGTCTTCCTCGTCTCTCTTTTTGGGTGTGGTTTTGTTGTTGTTTTCTTACCGTGTTGCCAGCTTTCTCCTCTCCCTCTCCTCGGTCGGCGGCCATAAATAAGGTGGCCATCGACGTACGTGATAGAGGGCTATAAAGCGCGGCCCGTGCGCGGAACGAGGAGGACGTTGTCCCTGCTGCCTGTAAGTGCCCTGCGCGCACCACCGGCCCTGCAAGTCGTGTGCCCTTCAGGCCTCTTCGTCGCAATCCGTGGTTCGCGAAAGATGTTGTCCATGGATCTCAGGACTAATCAGAACCAACACAAACATAAGCAGACGGCAGCTGGCAAATATAAATCCGCGACTGTGAATGAACGCGTTAAAAAAACAATGACAACTTCTACCAATAGGCGGCGCTAGCACTTGGTATGTCGAGGCTCCAGAGTTTGTTGCGGGGTTAAATCATCCGGGTAATGGTTGGTCGCTCGCTTTTTGGGGGGTCGCGGGGTCCCTTGAGATTTACTGACATGGATCACGGTGCTTGGTGGCTTGAGTTTGAGGGGGGCCCGGCTCTGTCATTGTTTTGCCGCCCCCCTTTGTAAATTCAGTCCCTTCCCTTGACTTTTTCACCACCACCCATGCCCGATGATGCCCAACTCTGCCATTGTTATTCATCTTGATTATTTCGGTTCAAAGTTATTTTGTTTTAAGTGATTTACGGATCACAAACCTAAATCAAAGTTAAAACCAACAAAACAAAGTTTAAATTTGGCGCAACTGGCAGTAATACAGATCGTGACGACGTGGTTTTAATAAACCGAATGACCTACATGATGTGTCATAATGCTGCATGGTGGAGAGTGTTTCAACCGTTGTAAAGCAGCAGTGGCACCCATTATTTAATTATTTATTTGGGGGGGGGGTGCGGGGGGGCCCTCGAAATCCAAAGCCCAAAGCTGCAGCCCCTGAAGCCCCCGGTGCTAATCCGGCCCTGGGTAGAGTGGTGGTGGTGGTGGGGGGGCATGCGCCGGGGAGGATGGAGTGGTGGAGGAGGTGGCATAGCGGAGAGGGTTGGGGGGACGCTTCTTTGAAAAGCCTTCATCGAGGGCTCCCGATTTTTCACGCACGGACGCTGCAGTGATTTACTGAGGGTACCATGCTCCAGAGTTCACACAGCCCCCTTGCCGTATCCGTTTCTCGAATGAGCGCAAGGGGGGTGGCGTGTGTCCGCGCGCGTGTGTGTGCGTGTGTTAGTAGTAAAATGTGGGGAGCGGTGAGTGCGCTGCGCTACGAACCTGGCGTGCCGAGTTCGATTCCCGCTCGCGGCCAATACCGGTGGCAATTATCTGAACCAGTCCTGGGCCTCCCCTAGGTCGACTCGGGCTCAAATGAATACCTATTGCGATGTGTCCACATTGCCACAAAGGAGACAAAGGCGGACGGGCGTGATGCTGGCCACACACCCCCTCATGTGCCGTTCCAGCCTTCATTGGTGCGCCAACAGTCTGTTAAAGGCTATCGAGGGATCTTTGTCTTTTTGTTGTAGTCATAGCAATATTTACAAGGGCAGCTCGAGTTTACATCGCTGGTCAAGAACATCATCGTATGCGGAATGAACTTTTTCATCATGCCAGGGGCAACTGATCACGATAACTTCCAAAGTTTGGAGTTCGCCATAGTTAGAGGGACGATTGTCTCCTAATCTTTGCCACTTGCATAACAGATTCGATTCCCCCAATGGGAAGTCCTGATTCAGTTTATGATCACCCGCTGTCGTCAGGATAGCACGAAGCCAGGAAGTTTTGGCCGTAGGATTTTCAATCGCGCTGCTGTCGTTGACGTCCGTGCTGCCCCCACTGGTGCTGCCAACTTCTCCTCTCGAGCGAAGTTCGATTCCAGAAAATGGGCAGCTGCTGTTGTCCAGAACGATCGGCGTAATTTTTAATCAGGGTGGCAGACAAGCAGTCGAGATCTTCACAGATGGGTAGCATTGCGTGATATTGACGAGAAAGGAGAGTAAGTAGGCTTGGGCAGAACTTGTCACCAGAAGTAACGATGGCCGCTAGCCAAGAATTAAGACAGATTGACAGGGGCCTGAGAGGACCACCGCCGAGGAGATGGAGCGATGAAATCCCCTCGTGCGCAGGTGGTCAGCGGATTGTCACGTTGCGCGATCGTGAGAGGTGGCGACAGCTCGGGATGGCCTTCATCCAGCAGTGCATCGATCGTGGCCGAGGATGACGACGATGATGAACGCTGCACAGCAGCACAGAACGATTTTGTTAGCAGGGGGTCGTCATTCTTTGTCTTTGTGTGGATGCTCGCATGTGTCCCACACCAATCATTTGGCTGAAGCCATTGGAGCAAACTCCACTGCCTCTGCCTCAGATTTACTCCGCGCACAAACCAATCGGCTCTCCCAGCGCAGTATATCTTGCGGTGAGACAAAGGTTCAGCTGCAGCGTCCTCGGGGTTGTGCTGC